CTATGTGCATCTGTTAATTCAAATATGCTACTTTAAGGAAAAAAAGAATAAACAGTAACTGCCAATGCTTAAGTCTTCAATGACTGAAGTAAAATTAAAACAGGGAAAGGTTTGATGCTGCCTTTTGTATAACTCAGAAACGTATTTATACACTTGTAGCTTGTTTTTTGGAGATAGGGTCTTGCTTTGTTACCTAGGTTGGAGTGCAGTGGCACAATCAGGGCTCACTGCAGCCTTGATCTCCCATGCTCGAGCGATCCTCCCACCTACGTTTCGAGTAGCTGAGACTATAGGTGCGTGCCATGTGGCCGGCTAATTTTTAAAAACTTTTTGTAGGGACAGGGCCCCACTATCTCACTATGTTGCCCAGACTGGTCTCAAACTTCTGGTCTCTCAGGATCCTCCTGCCTTCGCCTCCCAAAATGCTTGGATTACAAGCACAAGCCACTGCACCCAGCCACAAATATTTTTTATTTCATACTGCTCTAGCCAGTGGAGCTCCAATGTGAATGAAACAGACAACACCTCTGCTCTCATGGAGCTTACGTTCTACCATACAAAAAAAAAAAAAAAAAAAACACACACACACAAAAGTGTGTTTTTCTCTTGTGTATACACAAGAGAAAAAACAGGAGAAGATACAAAGTGAATGAAGACAAGGCTTCTTGGAGGACATGACATTTGGGTTAAAACCCAAATGATGCCGAGCGCAGTGGCTCAAGCCTGTAATCCCAGCACTTTGGGAGGCTGAGGCGGGTGGATCACAAGGTCAACATGGTGAAACCCCGTCTCTACTAAAAATACAAAAATTAGCTGGGCATGGTGGTGCACGCCTGTAGTCCCAGCTACTCGGGAGGCTGAGGCAGGAGAATTGCCTGAACCCAGGAGGCGGAGGTTGTGGTGAGCCGAGATCGCGACATTGCACTCCAGCCTGGGTAACAAGAGCGAAACTCCGTCTCAAAAAAAAAAAATAAAAACCCAAATGACGAGAGACAGCCAGGTGACAATCCGGGAACAGAACTCTCCAGGCAAGGATAATACAAAGGTATTATAAAAATGTTTAATGGACTATTGCTAAACTAAGTACTTCTAATAAAACGCATTATCCAGTGATTCCTATGTGTGCTGCAGTTTGAAAACCATTGACTGAAAAAAACTAACCAGCAAATAAATGGTATGAAGTGATCAGGACATTAATAAAATGAGAATAATATTCATTTATGATAAGAAGCATTTTACTGAATGCTAAGCGTAAGTTGCACACAATGCTAAATTACAGTCTCATTTTCTGGCTGAAGACATACTGTGAGATATTCATGACATTTGTAAGTAACCATATTTAAACTATCCTTGAGATGAAGTAGGTCAAAAAGTAGTTAAATAGATGAAGATAACCTTCCTCTTAATGCAAAATTTAAAATACCAAGCTAGCATTTCGTTTATTGATCTTTAAAAATGTTAATGATTCATAATATCTGAGGTTGGTAAGGGCAAGAATAAAGAAATCCTCTCATTCAATGTAGTTGTGTGAAAAACTAATTCAATTTGTTTAATTGACAAAAATTATATTTATGATATATAACATGATTTTTGTTTTGTTTTGTTTTTTGAGACGGAGTCTTGCTCTGTAGCCCAGGCTGGAGTGCAATGGCATGATCTCGGCTCACTGTAACCTCCACTTCCCGGGTCCTGGTCCAGGCAATTCTCCTGCCTCAGCTTCCAGAGCAGCTGGAATCACAGGCACGCACGACCATGCCCAGCTAATTTTTGTATTTTTAGTAGAGACAGGGTTTCACCATGTTGGCCAGGCTGGTCTTGAATTCCTGACCTTGAAATCCACCACCTCAGCCTCCAAAGTGCTGGGATTACAGGCGTGAGCCACCACACCCAGCCCCATGCAATTTTTTTTTTAAGACCATGGAGGGTCAAAATGGGTGGCACTGGACCCCAAGCTCCCCATGCCCACCAGGACTGCAAAATATCAGCTGTATGTCATTTGTCATGTTAATAAATAACTTATAGAAGGCTATATACTAGGTTATTCTCTTACAACTGGGATTGGTAAGGGAGGAGAGAGAAAAAAGGAAAAACAAGAGGTTTCTTTTTACATTTCATAAATCTCTGCACTACTTTTTTTCCTGAACTGTGGACATGAATTACTTCAGAAACACTGTTTTAAAAAATGAGGATGTGTTTGTGTTTACCTACAGCTGGGAGCCTCCATAATGACTTTCCAGCACTCTTTAGATCAGGGAAGATAGAAATGGCCCCAAATACTGAGCTGAATATCATAATGACATTCCTTAAAATGAAATTCTATTTGTAGGCGGGGCGCGGTGGCTCAGGACTATAATCCCAGCACTTAGGAAGGCCAGGTATGTGGATAACAAGGTCAGGAGTTCAAGACCAGCCTGGCTAACATGGTGAAACCCCGTCTCTACTAAAAATACAAAAATTAGCCAGGCGTGGGGGCAGGTGCCTGTAATCCCAGCTACTCGGGAGGCTGAGGCAGGAGAATCACTTGAACCCGAGAAGCGGAGATTACAGTGAGCTGAGATCGTGCCATTCAGCCTGGGCGACAGAGCGAGACTCCATCAAATAAATAAATAAATATTCTATTTGTATAACAATTAACAGAAAACAACTGTATAAAAATAGTATATCTAGGGTACCTTCTTTTTTGAAATTTGTTTCCGTAGGTTTTTAGAGAGCAGGTGGTGGTTGGTTACATGAGTAAGTTCTTTAGTGGTGACTTCTGAGATTTTGGTACACCTATCACCTAAGCAGTGTATGTTGCACCCAATATGTAGGCCTTTATCCCTCACCCCCAATCCACCCTTTTTATAAGGTACCCTTTAACTAGACATCAACAATAGTCCGCCGTGTAAAATAAAATCTAATGTGATTTGCAAAGCTCTTGTGGACCTAGTCTCATGCTTCTCAAACAGATTTCTGTATTCATACAACTCACCTGTGGATCCCGTTAAACTGTAGACCAATTCAGTAGTGTGCAACGGGACCTAAGAGTCCTCATTTCTAGTAAGTTCAGCAGATCATACTTTGAGTTGCAAGGATCTAGCCCAAGTTAATACCATACTTCTCCCCACACTTCAGATACAGTGAATTTCTGCTTTTCATTCATCATGTTCTTCACATTTCTATGCCTTTCTATATATTCTTCTTTAGCCTATACGGTTTTCTCCTCACCTCCTGTACCTCAAAAGCTCTTACTCTGTACAGGTGTAGTCAAACATTGCAGATGTACTACAGATGCGTCTTCTTTTGCTTTCCTCAAGGTCCCTATGCATTTATGTTCCAGAATTTATCACATTTGTTACACATGTGTCCATCTCCGTTATCAGACTCTGGGTTTGAGGATGTAAAATGTCTGTCCTCAGCACAAAGATATTTGCTTCTTTTTTTTGGTGCACCTATCACCTATCTCGCTTTGCTTGCTTTGTCGCCGGAGTACAGTGGTGCAATCAGGGCCCATCTTCCCACCTCGGCCTCCCAAGTAGCTGGGACTACAGGTACACGCTACCATACCCAGCTAAATTTTAAAAACTTTTTTTTAATTGCATTTTAGGTTTTGTGGTACATGTGAAGAACATGCAAGATAATTGCATAGGTACACACTTGGCAGTGTGATGTGCTACCTTCCTCCCCTTCACCTATATCTGGCATTTCTCCCCATGCTATCTCTCCCCAACTCCCCATCCCCCGCTGTCCCTCCCCTATTCCCCAAAAGAGACCCAATGTGTAGTGCTCCCCTCCCTCTGTCCATGTGTTCTCATTGTTCAACACCCACCTATGAGTGAGAACATGCAGTATTTCATTTTCTATTCTTGTGTCAGTTTGCTGAGAACGATGGTCTCCAGGTTCATCCATGTCCCTACAAAGGACACAAACTCATCGTTTTTGATGGCTGCATAATATTCCATGGTGTATATATGCCACATTTTCCCTGTCCAGTACACGGTCTCACAATGTTGCCCAGGCTGGTTTCAAACTCCTGGCCTCGAGCGATCTTCCCACCTCAGGCCTCTAAAGTGCTAAGATTACAGGTGTAAGCCTACATATTTGATAAATGTTTTCTGAGTACAAGTCACTGAGGTACCAGGTTTCTGCCACCACTTTGAAATAATGACTGTCAAAATCACTTTCATTCCATATTTTCTTTAAGGTAATATTTAGATTAAAAACAGGTAATCTCTTAAATTAAAATATAAGACAACACATATTCAAAATTAAAGTGAAGCTGGGGGTTGGGTATGGTGGCCCACACCTGTAATTCGAGCACTTTGGGAGACCTAAGTGGGCAGATCACTTGAGGCCAGGAGTTCAAGACCAGCCTGGGCAACATGGCAAAACCCTGTTTTTTGTATAAATTTTGTATAAAAATACAAAAATTATCTGGGTGTGGTGGTGCACTCCTGGAATCCCAGCTACTTGGGAGGCTGAGGCACAAGAATTGTTGAACCTGGGAGGCAGAGGTTGCAGTAAGCAGATATCATGTCACTACACTCCAGCCTGGGTGACAGAGCAAGAGTCTGTCTCAAAAAAATTAAATTAAAAAATTAAGTGAAGGTAAATGCAATGGCTCATGTTTGTAATCCCAGTACTTTGGGAGATCACAGTGGGAAGATCACTTGAGGCCAGGAGTTGGAGACCAGCCTGGACTTAGCAAAACGCTGTCTCTAAAAATTAAAAAAAAAAATTAATTGAAAGAAAAAACAAAATTAAAATGTCACACTATTTGATGAGATGCTTACCTTATGCTTAAAAAAAGTCAAGTTAATTTCACATCATTTTGGCATAAAGAGGCAAAACAAAGACTGTACTCTCCAGTATTCTTTTAAGTACTTAAAGAAAAAGAACAGCACCAAATTTCTAATATTCTTTTCCCTTAAATTTATTAGGACTCTTATTTTTCAGAACAAATGATAGAATAAGATCTTAAATAAAATGCTTACACAGACAGCTCTCTCTTTACCACTCACCTTCCTCATCTATCCATTTCATGGTGAAGAGCTGTTCATTGTCAAAAGAACACATGTCTCGAACCTCATTGCAAAGGCCCTCAAAGGAGATGGAAGGTTCAAAATGTGTTATCATGATATCCCTGAAAAAGAAAAGGAGTTTTAAGTTCGAAAATGATTAAAAATAATAATGCTGTATATATTACTGAATGCTTGACAATTTGATGAACTTCGGTAATTCTGTGTGTGCGTCAAGATGCATTGCTTCCAGTAAACGATTTCAGTAAAGTAAAAGTTAAAATATCAACCTGGGCACAGTGGCTCATGCACTTTGGGAGGCTGAGCTGGGCAGATCACTTTAGCCCAGGAGCTCGAGACTAGCCTGGGCAACATGGTAAAACCCTGACTTTACTTAAAAAAATTAGCTGGAGGCTGAGGTGGGCAGAGGTTACAGTGAGCTGAGATCACACCACTGCACTCCAGCCTGGAAAACAGAGGTAACTCTGTCTCAAAAAAATAAAAATAAAAACAAAAGAAAAAAAAAACAAAAAACAAATACATATACAAACACATACATAATTATACTGTTTTAAATAGTTTTAAAAAATAAAAATAGGGCTGGCACAGTGGCTCACACCTGTAATCCTAGCACTTTGGGAGGCCAAGGTGGGTGGATCACCTGAGGTCGGGAGTTTGAGACAAGCCTGACCAACATGGTGAAACCTCGTCTCTAGTAAAAGTACAAAAATTATCCTGGCATGATGGCGCATGCCTGTATTCCCACCCACTTGGGAAGCTGAGACATGAGAATTGTTTGAACCTGGGAGGCGGGGGTTACGGTAAGCAGAGATCATGCCACTGCACTCCAGCCTGGGTGACAGAGTGATACTCCATCTCAAAAAAAAAAAAAAGAAAGAAAATAGCTTATCTTAATGACAAAAGAGAACCGCTTGCTTTAAAGCAATCTTTCTTTCAAAGAACCCTCAAGTTTATTAGTATGAGGGCACAGGGTTGAGAGAATGTATTCTGGAATTAAATTATTATTATTAGAAGAAAATTCCATAGAATTTCTCTGTCAAAGAGTAAGCGTAGGAGTCTCCTCTCTTGGCTTTGGAGCCCCCCTCCCTCTGTCTCTGTACAGGGCAGCTTCTTCTTTCTTCTCTCTTCTTTCTTGCTTATCAAACTCTCTGCTCCTTAAAACTACTCCAAGGGTGTCCTAGCTGTTTTATCCAATTCGCAGGAGACAAGAGCCTTGGTGCTCCTCCACTCATCGAAGCCGTATCAGTGCCATCTTCAGTGCAGACACCAAGCGCTCACCAGACAACATACCTACTCAGCCCTGATCTTGGACTTACAGCCTCCACAACAGACTCTGCTCCAGCAGAGTCTGGAGATAAAGGAAAAACGTGGTTTTCTTTTTCCAACTAGAAGCTGGACATCCTAAGTGATTCATTAGAGCAATATATTTGCTTTCCTCTGGTTGCAAGGGGAAAGTAGGAACAACAACAACAGGAAGCCTGCAATCTTTGACCATGTCCTGATCTCTGTGCTGATGGCCGCCTAGCTGGGGATAGGGTTCTGTTATCATCTGTGCTCTGTTCACTGTCTGCTTGAATATTCTGTCTCTCTGTAGGGCAGCAAAACAATAACCTTCATTATCAGAAACCTCATTCTAAGTTTACTTTTCTGTCTCAGTGTACTTGTACAAATCACTTAGCTTTTTAAATATACAACTATGTTTTCTCACTGAGTAGCAACAGAAGCAGTATTTTTGCTAGGCTTGAGCTGCTTACTATTAAAAAAAATTATGCTTACATTGTTTTAATAAAACCTAATTTTAGGCTCAGATGCACATACAACTTAATATTTGTATTACAAAATTAATGTTTATTTATAATATATGAACATGCTTTTTTTTAAAAATAGAGAATGTGATGGATTAATCTGATGTTCTTTTTGATAATCACCCCTCGTTTTAAGAATATAACTGTCGGGCCAGGCATGGTGGCTCACGCCTGTAATCCAAGCACTTTGGAGGCCGAGGCGGGTGGATCACCTGAGGTTGGGAGTTCAAGACCAGCCTGACCAACATGGTGAAACCCCATCTTAAAAAAAAAAAAAAAGACTATAACTATCTAGAAAAAATAACTAATAGAGCTCATTGTATATTATCTAAAACTAACGGTATGCCAGGCAATTTTCTGACAACTTGATCGGGTCGGTACTATTTTTATCCCTATTTTACATATGAGGAAAGTAATGGAGAGATAGCTCACCAAGTCACTAGCTAGTAAGTAGTAGAGCCAGGATTCAAATTCAGGGAAGAAAAAGCACCTGAGAAGCTTCATGCTGCTTTCTGATCACCCTCTTATTCTCTAAGAGTAACCACCATCCACAACATTCATTGTGCCTCTTTCTGTATTTTATATAATTTCATATAAAAATGTGTTTGTACATGGAAAAAAAATGTGTAAAATCATTTTTTCTTTTTTTTTTTGAGACGGAGTTTCACTCTTGTTACACAGGCTGGAGTGCAATGGCATGATCTCGGCTCACCGCAACCTCTGCCTCCTGGGTTCAAGCAATTCTCCTGCCTCAGCCTCCCGAGTAGCTGGGACTACAGGCGCGCACCACCATGCCCAGCTAATTTTTGTCTTTTTTTTAGTAGAGACGGGGTTTCACCATGTTGACCAGGACGGTCTCAATCTCTTGACCTCATGATCCACCTGCCTCGGCCTCCCAAAGTGCTGGGATTATTGGCGTGAGCCACTGCGCCTGGCCAAAAATCGTATTTCTTAAAGGGAAAAATTAGTATCACTGGATATCACCAAAATGTAACTTCCTTATCAAAGTCCACATTTAAAATTAACATATATGTAAACATATTTGTAAACAACAAGGCTTTTTCATAAAGTTTTCTTTCTTTTTTTTTTTTTTAAAGACAGGGTTTCAGGCCAGGCGCAGTGGCTCATGCCTGTAATCCTAGCACTTTGGAAGGCCGAGGTGGGTGGATCACCTGAAGTTGGGAGTTCGAAACCAGCCTCGCAATCATGGAGAAACCCCATCTTTTAAAAAAAAAAAAAGGAGGGGTTTCACCATGTTGGTCAGACTGGTCTTGAACTCCCAACCTCAGGTGATCCACCCACCTCAGCTTCCAAAGTGGTTGGTTACAGGCGTGAGCCACCGCACCCAGCCCATAAATTTTACTTTTCAAAAGCTAAAAAATATTTCTCAGAACATACAAATACTTTTTTTTTGAGACAGAGTTTCACTCTTCTTGCCCAGGCTGGAGTGCAATGGCACAATCTCAGCTCATCACAACCTCTGCCTCCCGGGTTCAAGCGATTCTCCTGCTTCAGCCTTCTGAGTAGCTGGAATTACAGGCATGCGCCACCACGCCTGGCTAATTTTTTTGTATTTTTAGTAGAGATGGGGTTTCTTCATGTTGGTCAGGCTGGTCTCGAACTCCCAATCTAGGTGGTCTGCCTGGGTTGGCCTCCCAAAGTGCTGGGATTGCAAGCATGAATCGCCAAGCTCGGCCTGTACAAACACTTTTAAAACATCTGTGTCATCCTTAAAAAGTTAAGTATAAGGCGGACACAGTGGCTCACACCTGTAATCCCAGCACTTTGGCAGGCCAAGGAGGGCAGATCACTTGAGGTCAGGAGTTCAAGACCAGCCTGGCCAACATGGTGAAACCCGCCTTTACTAAAAATACAAAAATTAGCATGATGGCAGGCACCTGTAATCCCAGCTATCTGGAGGCTGAGGCAGGATAATCGCTTGAACCTGGGAGGCGGAGTTTGCAGTGAGCTGAGATCAAGTCACCGCACTCCAGCCTGGGTGATAAAGTGAGAGTCCATTCCAAAAAAAAAATAAAAGTGTAAGTATAGACACCCGTAAGAGACACAATGAAGGAGTTATGCTTTATCAACCACCACTCCTTAAATTCCAGGCACTAAAACATTCAAGGGAGTTTTACATAAACACTTCTCTCAGGAATTGCGAAAGCACTATCTTCATTACACTCCACAATCACCAGATCCTTGTTATAGTGCCAAAGCTGAAAGTGAACTGCAAAATAAAGAAACATTACATTCTAAAGGCATAAAACAAATTATGCATGAATGATGTTTTTTCTGGTTTAACGTCAGCAATAGCATAAATGATTTTACCACTGATCTTCAACAGGATACAGTCTGCTTTATCACAGATTCCCAAAGTGACAAATTTAGATATGGTTTTAGCTGAATTTTTAATTTTGCTATTGGGCTTCAGAAGACAAACTGCTTTCAATGTGCCTATATTCTAAAATATAGAATCTATTATAAAGTTTTTCCTTAGGACTAATAATTGCTTTTAAAAACAAATCCCCAAAAGAATCACATTCAGTCCTTCTGCTACCTCAATGTAAGCTTTTCTCCTAAATTAAATACAGTGTGTTCAGAAAAATAAACTCATTTGCAATAACCATTACAATAATTGGTTTAGGCAGGATTATCTATGAACAGTAAGACCATTGGGCAAAATGTTTTTGGGGGACTGAGTATTCATATAATCTCAAAGTATCACCCCCCCTCAATTATTAATTATAACAGAGGCATAAAGCAATTTTCAAGTTTTAATAATCAAGAAGATAGTGAATTCAAAAACAACAATTGTGAAATAAGAATTTGACAATAGAGCAAAAAGCAATGTTATAAAGCCCTGTCAATGTAGTAAGGGGAAAGGAGAAATCTCTTTGAAGGTTAAGGTACAGTTTTGGCTGGGCAAGGTAGCTCACACCTGTAATCCCACCTACTCACAATGCTGAGGTAGGAGGATCGCTTCAGGAGTGACAGAGCAAGATCCTGTCTCTAAAAAAATTTTTTTAATTAGATGGGCATGATGTAATCCCAGCTACTCAGGAGGATCATTTGAGACCAGGAGTTCAAGTCTTCAGTGAGCCATAATCGAGCCACTGGACTTCAGCTGGGGCAACAGAGCAAGAGTGTCTCTAAAAGAAAACACACCTAGCTTTGTATTGTGGATTACTAATTCTCAATGTTATCATCTGTAAAATGGAGATAATGATATCTGCCTCTGAGTATTAGCATTAAGACTAAATAAAAATAAATGCAGCTTGAGCCTGAGAGGTTGAGGC